TATATATATGTATATATATACACACACTTATAAAATTGAGATGATACAAAGCAAAACATTGCAACAAGTAGATCATTGGCTTCAGGCAAGCTCCAAAAGTCAGCAGCTACTGTAAACTCCTTAGGTGTTTATGAAACCAGGCAAGAGAGGGGCAGAGACCTGAGCTAGTACAGTGGCAAGATACCACCCAAATATTTTTCCCAAGGTGAAATACATATAGTTTATTATGGCGCTGTGAATAACTAACTTGTATTTAAACTAAGTTGCCAAAAAAAGCCACTTCATACATTTTGAGGCATGTTTAAAACTAAACATTAAAATATTTCTTACCCTAGCATCTGAAGACAAGCATGCAGATTTTTTGTATGCAATTTGCTGAAGTCGCAGTTTTTTCCAAACCTGTATTTCGTGACTTCAGTTTTTAGTATTATCATTGCTGTGTCAAGAGAATTAAAACAATTAAATAATACTTCTTTTCATTTTCAAAAATGCTCCTCTCCTTTTAAACGCAATTAATACAATTTCTTGTCTGCTCAGAAAAAAACCCTGTTTTAATTTTTGCTTATTCATTCCTGATTTTTTTAATGCCATCTCACCAGCACATGTTTGATAGCGCATTAGTTATTTAGCAAGTGAACATAGAGTGTCATCAGTTGTCTGTGTGCCTGGAAATGCTGAAATGTTAGTTGCTTTAATCAGAAGTGAAAATAGAATTGGCAGTATGGTAATGATGTGCTCTTTATCCATACAAAAATAATTTACTTTTTTTTCTTCAATAGTTTGCTTGGCTTCTACAAAGGAATATTTCCTCCTGTCTTGGCTGAGACACCCAAAAGGGCGGTGAAGGTAAAAACCTTGTGTTTCCTCCTTTAAAAACATAAGTAGGGATAGTGGCAGCTGTAAAACATTTTATTTCTCCCCCACTGATTGAGATTAGAATCTTAAACTTATTTGGCATATTAATCCTCTGAGTTTTACTAGGAGGAAAGTTCCCTGTTGATAGCACAATAAAAACTGTGCTTAATTAAGAAGCAAAGGATAAGGCTCTTATATGCTAAGCAATTTTTGACCTGTATAGCTAATGTTCCTGAAAAAAAAATTCTAATTTTTTAGGCAGTCAGAATTGGTAAAATACTTTACATAGTATTTTAGCTTCATAATTACCTCTGGTTTAGATATTTTGTTTTACTTAAAATGCCTAGCAACTTGCAAAACAACTAATAGCTTAATAAATTAACACAAGAAGCCGTTAAAGAAGCCACTAATAAGTACTTACTCAGTAACTTGAAGTAATATATCTGTAGGTTTGAAGTGCTGTGCAGTTTTCTTGTGCTCCGAAGAGCCCTCTACTCCATACTCATGCTTTTTAACAGGTTGAGGACAGTAATGGATATGGCTCTTCATTGTTCAAAGAACATTTTAGTCCAGCTCTCTTAGAGCTGAGATAGATGCTAGCCTATCAAAGTGTATTCGCTGTCAAATGTTGATCTGATTTCTTTTGCCACCCTTTATTTTGATTTGTATAGCATGATTTTAGCAACATTCCTAAGCAAAATACTTCAATGCATCATTTTTTTCAGTAGTCATGCAACTTTTTTAATTAAAATATAGTTATTAGGCACATCATCTTAAAGTTCTAAATCTATCAAAGCATCCATTGTGTTAAGAACAAATGTTTGTTTGTCTTTTAATTCAGAACTTTGAAGTTTTCCACAGTTGCACTGAATGTGTCTAAAAGCAGTCATTATACAGAATGCCTTGATTTTCCTTTCTTTTTTCTTTGTTTCTTTCTAAAAAAGCTGCATATGATTCTGGTTCTTGGTCTGCAATTAATCATTCACATTCCAATTCCTTTATAGAGGAATAATATTTGTATAAAGTGACAGGATGTGACCTTGCAATAGAATCCTAAAGGAGTTCTGGTAATGTCATCTTCTTGTTTGCATTGTCATTTTAGATGCAAGTGACTTATGTCACCTATCTCAAAACTAAGAAAGTTAAAGTCCTGTTTAATAACAAAGTGGCAGTGAAGAATTGATGGATAATACATAGAAGATTCCTAATAACTTGTTGCCTTCATTCTGTGATGTTTCTGCTATCTCTCCATTTAATTTCTTTTGAAACAGGACGAAATAAATATGACTGGGCTTTTCAGATTCCAGCATATATTTAGTTATAATACTAACCCAGGTTGTATTTCTCCTACCGACCTGAGTCATTCCAAAATCTCACATCACTTTCTCTTACTCAAATTAATTAAATTGGTTTAAACCCCATGATATTCAATATATGTATGGAGTTTTAGAAAGACGTAAGTTGGGAGGATTCTCTGGAAGTCATGTGGTGAGCCTTCTGCTGAAAGCAGGACTGTCTTCATAGTTAGATCTACTTGTTTGGATGCCTTATGTAGTCTAGTCCTGAAAATCTGCAAGGATGGAGCCTGTAGCCTCTCTGTGCTCCTGCTCCAGTTCTTAATTGCTTTTGCTGTGAATAATTTTACCTTATATCCAATCCAAATTCTCCTGTTATAACTTTTGCCTATTTTATCTCATACTTCTGTTGTGGACCTCCTAGATAGTCTGACTGTCTTCTGTATAACCTTTAGATGGTGGAAGACACAAATTAGATTTCCTCAGCTTTCTTCTCTCCAGGTAAAGTGGACTCAGTTCTTTCAACCTCTTGTACATCCTAAGCTCAGAGCTTCTTTGGTGCTCCCTTAGTGGGATGCTTTCTACTTGATTCTTGGGCATTTATGTGAGGGCTGAGTTTTCTGCTGCTGTGCGAATCAGGTTTAGATGTTAAACATGTTTTTTTATTAAATAATTGATTTCTGTAATTCCTTAACTATCCCTTTAAATTTATTGCTGTTCCAAGGACATTAGGATGACTTTGAGTTACCTTGAGACATCAGCTGTATGCTACATTAGAAGAATTCAGTGATAGAATAGGGCGGGATAGTAATGTCTTTGTAAGAGCACGGATACTGAAGCAATTCTATGTGAGATGTTATATGCCAGTATAATTTCTAACATCAAAAGAGGAGTTTGCACCCATACTTTGAACTGAAGAGAATCCAGCCTGTCTCAAATTTTGACTAACCTTATTTGGATATGACCCCAAAGGAAAAGTCACTCGTTCCTTTCACCCACTCTAGATCCTTTATTCTTCTAATAGTTGTCCTCATTTTAATAGGCCCCAAGCTGTCCCTTGTCCAGTGCTAAAATTACTAGTGACATTTAGAGGAACACTATATTCAGGCAAATGATTTTGAGACTTCAGAAAGCTCAAAATGTAGAGATGCAATTTCTAGGTTCCAACAGCCTTGATTTTTTTTGTAATGAACTTTTTTGAAAGCTTCTAGTTATAGTGTCATAAAAGTGTGTAAAAAATTGACAAGGGAGATTTAGTACTAAGAAGAAATGGGCTTGTGCTACTGGACTATTGTATTTATCTGGTGTGTATATTTGGTAATAAAAATAGAGCCTTTAAAATGAAGGTTTTAGCCCCAGTTTTTCAGTTGAATGTTGAAGATACAGCTTCATTTTTAGTCAGCTATGTTCTCGTGTCTGTTTTGCTATTTCTTCTTTTCTCATTTTTTATTTCCCTTCTAAAAAGAAAGCTGGTATTTCTGGAAGATGAAAAGTCAAAGTTTATAACTTTCTGTTAGATTGAACTTGGAGGAAAGAAATGATGGTGCCAATACAATGGTTAACAGATGAACTTTTGGGGCAAATTTATATTGTTCATGTGTTCCCAGACATCTTGTTTCAAGCATATATTTTTACCTTAGAGTTATTGAGACATCTGGTAAGTACTTTGGCTATTTTCTGTGTAACTTCAATTAAAGTGTATCTTTGCCAGATGGACAATATTGGTTATTATATACACAAAAGCATGTTTTAAATACATTTATTCTGAGAAAAAAAAATCTGCAAAGCTATTAACTTAATACAACTGTAGAGGAAAAGTCAAATTATGCTGTGTTTTTAAAAACATTTTGAGTGTACATTATACAAATCCATATGATATGGTAAGATATGGCTTTTTGCAAACTTGTATGTATACTAGCCACTCTGGTATACACAGCAGCATTTATATTGAGTTTTATTGCTATCAATTTGTTTTCTTTTAAAAATTATATAAAGCATAGTTACTATTAAGTAGTTATTTTATTTATGACTCTAGGAAGCTATTGATTTTTAAGGAAACATTTTAAAGACCAAAAAATTGCTAGGTAATTTATTTCTGCCTTTATTACAACCATTTTACAGATCTGTAACACTATGGAAAACATTAAGGAATACCAGAAATTCCATTAAAGGTTAGGAGGGTAACAATGAGTAGAAAGATGCTGGACAGAGAATAAAGCAAACTTTATCACAATAAGAAATTAATTTAGTTCAGTGAAGCGACTTACCCACCCACTTTCTCAGAGACTTCCTTTTGCCTATAAAATATCTTCAGCTATCCAAATAGATACCCCTACAGTTTAACTAATGCTTCTATCTTTTCTTATTGTTGGCAAGGCCATTGCAACAATTTTAAACGTATTTGCAGGATGTTTTCAAGATTAATGTTCAATCTGTACACTATTTGGAGGGCAGTAAAGATCTGGGCCCCAATTCTAGGACCTTTACTACAAAATTTTATATTAATCCATACTGAGGATATAAAAAAGTCTTTATTCACTGACTGGAGTATGAGCCCTTCAGTTTTCAGAATTTAACACCTCAGTTTTGTATTATGTATACATATTCCCTCCTGCTTTAAACTGTTGCCATTATTAACACATTAACACCCAGTTCTCTAATGGGTTTGGTGTGATTCCAGTGACTTTTCACTTGAAGCAGGTCTTGATTGAAAAATATAATCGACTTTGCCACAGAACAAGGCTCTAAATAAGTTAAAATTAAAATGTAGTGCTTATTATTTGTGTTCCCATACACGTGGTTTATAGAAAAGCTGGTTGGCTCTGATAGGCCTGTAGCAACTGAACCCTGAGGGACAGATTTTGGCAGAGACCCAGCACAGATCACCCAGTCTTTCTCTTTTGTCTTATAAACTTACTTCCTCTCATGGTGGAACAGCATGGTAGTCATGCATTAGCAGGTACTGTGTGGAGGGGTCACAGTGTCCTGTGTGGGCATAAAATGCAGAGACTTTAAGAGGATCCCACCTACATTTGAATCAGTTTGCTCTGAACTAATCAAGTGTTACAGGTCAACTTTGGAAAGTAGCCAGGAAATTCAGAGGTTCTAGTTATTTACTTTTGCTATGCTGGGATGTGAGAGCTCTTGCACTAGTAGATATGCACCTTCACTGATGCAGTCTTGGTGAAACTATGACAAAGTTTTGTTGTTCATTCCCGTAATACTGGATACTCTGTGTAAAAGCCACTTTTTTTTTTTCTTTTTTTTTTTTTTTTGCATGCATGCAAAGACATGAATACTTCCTGGACAGATTACAGGACTCACAAATAGTGAGCTGTAGTTACAGGCCTTTCGTTGTTCCATGTGTGAAAAGTATCTGGAATAACACCTCCAATAACTTTGGGGTTACCCAGAATTCAGATATCTGCTCTTTGTAACCCACAAGATTTTCTGCTGTCCTCAGTCCTTGATCATTTTCACTGCCCTCAGAACTGTCTTATGTGACATCAGCCTGAACTGCTTTTTCAGTGGCAACAGCAACATATTTGCAGCATTTGAATTCGAAACACTACAGAGTTTGTTCTATAATCTCTTTCATAAACATACCAAACTCTCCCTTACAAGCCATTAAGATTTCCCCCGTTACTCTTATTGGAAGACTGTTTCAGGACCCCTGAATCCTGAATATCCTTGGTTATAAGAAAGCTTCATCAGATCTCAAGCCATGTCTATTTACAAGGATTTTTTGCTTTTATACCTAATTACCTTATGTTACATATCTTTTCTTGTTCTTCATTCTCCTGCAGCCTCTCTTTGGCTAAACTAAACAAGCAAAGCATTAATTCCTCTTCAGTCTTCGTTCTTTAGAAAATTGCTAAGTTCTTAATAATTCCAGTAACTTGTTTTGAATATGCTGTAGTCAGAGTTCTTTTTGAATAAAGGTGAACTATATTGTGTGCAATATTTCAGAGGGCATCTTACCAGTAATTTACAAAATGTCACAAATACTCTTTCTTTAGAGCATATCTTGACTCATGCATCTTAGAGTCCACAGACAAGGACCTAGGGAGCAAAAGTCTGTCTGCCTATGCCAATGGGATGACTTCAGTGTAGTCAGAGTTATTCTCAATGCTCTTCTTGGAAGAACAAATCCATTAATTTATTTTGATTTGTTTTTTAGAAGAATTCACAAAAGGAATTCTGAAAATTAATGAGTTTGTGTGGCACAAAATGTTAGGTTGCAAAGCGAGCCATTTACAAATAGTCTCCTTTTGCCATGTTGGTGCAGGTGAAGCTGATCTCTTTTCTTTCTTGACATTCAAGTACCATTCAAGCATCAAAGAGTACAGCTTTCAAAATTCATCCTCTAAGGAACTGCAGATACTCAGAAATTCTCTCTCCATTGTTAGAAAGCAGACAATTGGTTGAAAGATTTATTTGTAAAGAGAAAAAAAAGACTAAAAGAAATGTGTCTGTTGACAGTAGAAGATTACAAAAATCTACAGGCTTTCCATCTTGAAAATCTGCAACTGTATCTCTCTGATGAGAAGTAGACTGGTGTTTGAGAAATGTGAAAGTGATTGCAGTATATTATATTAAAGATGTGGGGATGATTTCTTGGGTAAAATTATGGTGTCTGCTACTACATTTATACCAGTATATGAAAGCTAACGCTAGAGAAAAAGTTGATAAATTGAAAATATGACCTATGTGTTGTAAGTGAGCTCTTAAAGAAAGCATTACTTCAATGGCACATATGCTGCTATTATGCATGGCACAAAAATAAAATCAGTTCTGATGCCTGATTTTCTACTGTTGCACATCTAACACTGCTTCAGGGAGTATGAAACAAAAGTGGCTGATGTTTATTTTGCAGAACTGCATGCAGCTACTCAGGATACAAGACAGTGAAGCTCCATTGTAGTTTGCTTTTTAATAACTTGCATAAGTAATTCATAATTTTTTTCAATGCAATTTCAGTCTAACTTTTATTTACAGTTTTTCACCTTCGAACAATACAAGAAGCTACTAGAATATGCATCATTTCCACCAGGATTGGTATGTATGGACACAGACCTTCATGTTCCTGCTTAATGTGTTGTGTGTACTGAGCAGTCTTGTCTACTTCCTCCCACAGAAGCAGCCCAGAATTAAAGGGTCCTGTTCAATCAGTGGGTTTTCAGACAAGACTTGTCCCTTGAAAACATAGATAAAGAATTTATCAAGATGATAACTACATGAATTTTTATATCACATCTTCAAAATAATTCCCTACAATGTCATAACATTTGTTAACATGGATAATGACATTCACTTTCAAAGTCTGTATGTACCTTGTCATTCTTCATTCTTGCAAAATAATGAAAAAATTTGAACATTACCAGTATTTCGTTATTCATGTGATATTTACTAATTTGATAACTCAACCTCAAAGTGCTATTCTGCGACATACAGTGCAACTATAACAAAAATACAGATCTCAATTTTATTCTGAAGGCTTTATTAATAGAAACATAAGCTAATGAAAAGAAATTGCTAGCTCTTTTAAAATCAATTGCAAAACTGTCTTACGCATCAATGGAGTTAGGAATTTGTCTCAAGAACATAACTGTTTTAAAAACAAAATACAAGGCATACATATAAGACATAAACAGAAATGCATATAAACAGAAATGTTTTAATTCTAGAATGTAGCTTGCATGCCTAATCTGCATTCTCATATGTAGAGCTTAATTCTGCTATTGTAAAACTTAGAGTAAAATACCTTTTATAACAACTACTGCTTCCTGCAGTGTAATAATGTAAATCATAGTAAATACCTGTTTTTCACAATAGTAGCATCACAGCTGTAGGAAACTATTTTTATGGTTATGCTATAAAGGTTTTGGTTATTTCAGGTGTCTTTCAAACAATATTTCTTCCATTTACATCTGCCTTTCATTGCACTGAGTGAATGGTCGTGGAATTATATTAACTAGCTTAAAGCAAGTTTCCTCTTTCTCTTAATTATTCCATTGACCCTGTAGTTGTTTATAGTCTCTCCTATTTCATCTGGTCTTTTTCAGCAGGCTCTTCTCTTTGGTGTAAATAGAGAGACTGATACTTGTTCACTAGAGAGTGGAAAGAGCAGAGTTGAAGGTTTAGGTTGCCCCAGCACTTTTTTGGAGGGGAGCAAAATATGCTGAAAACTTGTAAATATGCAATAACTGACCAAAAGCTGCTCTGATTCATATAAAATGTATGTCAATCATCAGAAACCTCTGACATTTTTGATTCAGCACAGTCACCACAGAGGCATTTTTGACCCTAGAATAACCATGGTAGTGGGGGAGAAAGAAGACTGACAGGGATTCTGGTCGAAGCTAAGCAGAATGCTTCTAGATATGCCAAAAGACCTCATATCCAGGCAATATTTATTGTTAAAAGAAAGATATATATATACATTAGCACCATCTTCTTGCTGGATTCAGTCTCATCGTTGATGATGAAAGGTTTTCATCTCGTTGGAAAAATAGATTTGTTGGTAACAGTCTTCTCCAAAGGCAGTAAGGCTGGCATTTGCCACTACCCTTCTAACTATGCATTCTTCTTTTTCTTGAGCTCACAAGAGTCCCTGCTCAAATCCCTCTGTATTAAGTAAGTTTTTTCTCACTATTGTTTTTTCCTTACCATTGGTTTCGTTGAATTTCAGCAAATATACTCCATAGGGAGTTTGGGGATGTTAAATGGAGGCAATAAATGTGTAAAGTGATTATTGAAGTTAACCCCTCTGAATTTTCTAAACCTAAATATTTTAATACTGTCTTTCTGTTACAAGCAAATCAAGGTATTTTAAAATGTGGTGTCATGATGGAGAGCAAAGCAGTGAGTATCTCCATATCTATGGCTGAAATGTACCATCAACTTCTAAGTAAATGGAGTTAATTCATCCTTGCAGTGAATGCTGACATTTCCATTTGTGCCACTCATTCCCATATAAACCTTTCTAGGACTGATATTTACCTAGGAGAACTTCTCTTCTGGTTGTGCAATTTGCTTAAGTACTACACTATTTTAATTTCTTATATTTATTTTTAAGTTAATATGTTAGAGTTATGTGCTTAGTGCTCAATTGAGAGATTTTATTTTCTCCAGCACTGCATAACTGCATTTATATTCATGTTATTATTCAGATTCCATCCCAAGATAACATGAGGGCATTCTTTTTCCATGTTTTTGCAATACTTTGGTACCACATTTTTTCTTCCATCTGAAAAGAGAATTCATCAACAGTACTATGACATTTTATTTTGCCTTTTTTGGAATGTGGTTTATGGCTATTGTCATACTGTCTTCATGAACTGTCAGCATCTAATCAAGGGCTAAAATTGTTTAGTAATAGAATACTGCTGCATTACTGTAACGTTGCAGTTTGTATTGTATCATTCAGTTTCATAATGTGATGTACAGGAAGTTTTACTTCTTAATTTTCAAGTTTCATTTTAACTTTCTTAGGCATTTGCAGTTGCTGGCTTGGGATCTGGGTTGACAGAGGCAGTTGTGGTTAACCCTTTTGAAGTAGTGAAGGTCACCTTACAGACCAATCAGAATGCCTTTGCAGAGGTATGAAAATTGCTTCATTCTCCTTTTCCCACTTCATTAGGCACAGAGCACTTCAAGGTTCATATATGGAGCAAAATGTCTATAATACATTGGGTTGATGCACTGTAAGGAATTGTAATCCAGAGGTATAAACCTGAGCTGCTTGTACACAGCACACTTACCCCAGTTGGCTCCTGTCTTCAAGTGATCACCAAAGGTTAGCATAAAACACCATGGCCATGCGCCCTACACAAAGTCCAGGTGGTGTATTTTGTGCTGTTTCTTGGATGAAATTATTTATATAGTAAATATTTTGCATTTACTAGCACAAACTGAAAGATCATTATATAATAAAGCCCACTGATAATTTAAATTCTTGCTTCACTTTAGAGTTTTATTATTCAAATATTATTTTGTCGAAAGAAGTCAGTGTGCAAAATTAACTTTGTCCATGGTTCTGGGTATAGCTGAAAGGGGAAAAAGATTAAACTAGAAAACAATGATTCATCAAAATCAAGTGTTCCCAGGAATGCATCAGCTTCAATTATTTTTAATGCAGAAAATGTTCCAGGTTAAAGTGGAAGAAGGTAATAACACAGTTCCTTCTTTCTTTTCTCAGTGAATAAGACTAACAATTGTCAAATCAGGTCTTTCAAAATCTTTTGGTAAATTATCTGTACCATGGTAGAAGCGCCAAATCACATAAGCCTGGCATGACAAGGTTGGCTGAATCCCTGGTGAGGCAGGATTTATAACAAAATCTAGGGTGTTTTAGCTTGTAAGTTTTATGCAATTCCTTACTTTAGTTACAGCATCCCTCCCATGGTGACCTTCAGAACACTCCAATAATCACAATATAGCTGTCCAAAATCAGTCTGAGTTGTTTTAGGTGAATATTTTTTAATTCAATTTAAACGCAAATTTTTGCAAAATCCAAATAATAGTATATTATCATAAAAATAAAATCGTGAAAGAACGCTATTCATACTCTAGTTTACATCTAAAATACAAACAATTTGCCCTAGTGAAAAATCCAAGGGACATTAATTTCTTAAATCACAAAGATAGTCAAATCACAGACATATTCATTTTTCATATATCTTTAAGAAACTGTTATGATTTCAAATTTGCTGTGAATCAGAAAAAAACTGCAGTGATTTCATTGTCATGATCTCAAGTTCTCAAGAACATTCCACACTAAAGCATGTGAACATATTGGAAAAAGCATGTCCAGAGGTTATATTATACAGCATAAGATAATGGTTCACTCATTTCATTACCATGCACTGTTTTTCTAAAAGACTTAAGTAAAGTGTGTACCTATCCCATTGTGGAGCCTTCATACTACATGATGAAACCTAATGCGGTTCACATATTTCTTTGACTATTGTATTGAAATAATAAATATATCTGTTTAAAAGGAACAAGGAAGAGCATGAACACATACACTCACACCCAGACTCCTGCACACCCCCAAAGCAAATATTCACACCCTGCAGTGACAGCTGGATTGTTCTGTGGTACCAGATCATCTTTCACGTGTTGATACATTTAAAGAGGAAGGCCACTATAAATCACATATCAGCACTTCAGTAGTGTGGATTGCTATGGATAAAATTAATGGTGACTGTTAAGGTTAATTTCAAGTAGCCCTAGATCCTTGTTGTTTGGTTTTCTTTTTCTTTTTTTTTTCTTTTCCCTGTAGCCCTAGATAGCTTACTGACTATAGAAGCTGGTGTGGTGATAAAAATCTTCTCACCTGTCTTAAGAGTCGTGATTGATTAAACAAATACAAGTTTGTGCTTTGCGATGAGAAGAATTCGACTCCAGATTCCACTGTGTCTCTATTAAGTAAAAGTCAGCAGTTGTGTGAGGTGAATAACTCCAGGTGTTTATACAATAAATTCCTCCATCTAAGGTCCTTCCATC